TGGTTAGATCGCGGGAATATTTAAATTGCCTGTGGAATGTTTTCTCACACGGACGAGGGTTAACGAACGAACCGCAGAGTCAAATTTTGCTTGCAACGTGCGAAACTGATAAAAATTCAGAACGGGCCCAGTCCCGATGATATCGCCCATGTGTGTTATACATGCTTACGAAGTACAGAAACCTGGCACTACGCCACGGGCCGACTGTCGGCCGATGAAACGATCCGTAATAACGATGCTGATAACGGACGAATATAAATGGAAATAAAAACCGAACAAACTGATCGATTCCCGTTTCAGATAAATTGAGAAAACGGGCTGAAATATTTTTATATAACTTGTTTTTCTGGATATGGCGGTTTAGAATTGCGTAAAACGTTATTTGTAAACAAGCAAGACGTAGAGGTAAGTGAAAGTAGCTCGGAATTCGGGCTTCCTAGGACCTAATAAAATTCCAGTACTGAAACTTTGAGAGGCTATTTATCGCCGTGCATACCATATATAAAAGTTACCCGAATGGCTGGTGTGAGAACTTTATTTGGAAAACAAGATTAATGATATCCAACAACTTTTCCATTGCTCAAAATTAATATTGCCAAGTCATACAAAGCCGAAATTGTAGTAAGTCGGATTTTTTCTATTCAGCCGTGTATCTTTGAAAGTCGAAGTTGAAAAATAATGTAAGCAGGGAATTGTGTCGTCACACTTGCTACATTATTACTCAATAATATTTAAACCAGTTTCCTTTAGATAAAGACATGCAATGCATGATATGTATGCTTACAACAGATGCTAGATAGCGGGTCCGTTCTACTATCAATACGGAAATTCATTATGCTCGAAACCAAAGTTAATAATATTTCACTTATTCTAGTTGTTTCGAAGGCTAGAAGAAGAGGATATTTTCCTCGAAAGTTCGTCGTCGAATGGTTATTTTCAAATCGGCCTTATACCTGACTTTTTAATAGAAAATTATAATGTATGGTGTTTATTGACCGTTAATTAATGATTATTTGGAGATTGTGAGATGCGGTCTGGTGTGACGTAGGTTGAGAAAAACATTTTCTTTATCATGTCAACGTTTCGATCTTTATTGAGATCATCTTCAGGGCCTGGGATTTATAAACATTGTTTAAACAAATACAAATACATGTAACATGTAAAAAATGAATTTATAAATCCTAGGCCCTGAAGATGATCTCAATAAAGATCGAAACGTTGGCACGATAAAGAAAATGTTCTCAACCTACGTCACAACTGACCGCATCTCACGATTTCCAAATAATCGAAAATTATAATATTGACGGTTGATATAAATTTTGTCGAGATGTAAGACATATGAAACTCTATCCATACTGTCTTACTTGAATTATCGCAACCTTTCCTAACAAAAATCTCAACATGATCCCTCCCCCCCCCCAAAAAAAAAAAAAACTCGCATTGAGGCCCTGAGGTCCCGGATCGTGCCAGCATTGCGATTGGGCTGCCTGGGTCTTTCCAGATAAAAAACTCTTTCTGGTTATTCGGGAAAAGTTTGGATAAATTTGTGAGTAGAGCATATGTACACCAAGTGGTAAAAAGCGTGTTAAGAAATACGTATGAAATTTCCCTGCAAAATGTTCGTAAAACAAATTTTACTCGACAATCTCGTGAGGATTTGTTTTACTAATGGCCCGGTCCTGGTTTGACCATCGACCTTCAACGATATCACTATAAACTAATAATCGCAAACTAATCACTAATTATAGACATTTATGACATTCGAAAAATGATAAGTGGGCATCACAGCCTAGTATAAAAATTCCAATTTTTATTTGCTTACAAATAAATGTTTTTTTAAATATGTATTTTCATAATTCAAGATACATGTTTGGCTTTTCCCCCCGCGAAAAATAACATTTTTAATTTCAAATAAATTTTGAGTGAACCATTTTCCATTTCAAATTAACCGTTTTTAATTTCAAAATAACTCTCTTTAATTGCAATTTTGTCTCTTTTTTTTAATTCATATGTACCCATTCTTTAAATCGACAAAAACTTCGGATATGGCATGGACTGTAAGCACGTAATGTAAAATTAAAAAAAAAAAAAGTAAAATTTCTGCATTTAAATATAAAATCAAATGATTCTTCTTTTCATTTGAGTTGTTTTTTTAATTATAAAATCATTGGGCTCTTGACAATCGTATGAAAAAGAATTACAATTGAAACTAAAAATTAGTTTGTATATTTCAGTTCGGTTAAGGAATTTTTGAGCCGTACGTATATTTCATTATACGTAAGTTTCAATTTTAATTGTAATTAAGTTTCATATGGTTTTTAAGAGCCCAATTATTGTATATTTAAAAAATCTCAAATAAAAAAAGATTAGTTTTTATATTTCATTTTATATAATTTTAAATTTTAAGTGTAAATAATTTTCATATGAACTTCTAAGAGCCCAAGTATTTTATATTAAAAAAATTCCTTTCGTGTACAGGAATTTTACTTTATATGTTTATATTTCATAATTCATATCATCATTAATTTGAGTTAATTTGAAATATAAAAAAGTTAATTTTTAACTCAAAAGTGTTAAAAGTTAGAAATGGGTAATTTGAAATCTAAATAGGTCAATTTGAAATTAAAAAAGTAAATTTGAAGCGAAAAAGGGGTAATTTGACAGAAAAGAGGAATAAAAGTAAATTCGAAGCAAATACGTAACTTGTCGTTTCACAGACTGCAGATCAAGCACATATATAAACAGTTACCAAATATGAATAATGAAGGCTAAGGAATGGGGAGGCGCGTAAAAAATGAAAAAATAAATGTGGGAACAACACTGCAATATAAACTGCTCAAAAATGAATACGGTTATGTGTAATTTATTCTTATTCTATTCATTTTATTGATATTAACCGATATATTCTTGTTAGTTGGTTAAAACATAATAGAAAATACAAACCAAAAATAAACTACTGTTATTCTTCATTTTTATTAACAGATTTACTTAAGAATGTATATATGCAGATTACTCATTTTATAAACCAATATCTTTTTTCGTCTTTTCTCCATTTTAATCCAGTTGTATTACCTTCAACCATGGAAAGACCTTGAACCAGAAGGTGGCAATATTATTGTGAGAATAACTCATCGAGGCTACCGGCAAGTAGATATCTCAGAGGCAGTTGGCGTTTCTCAGAGCGTGATCTCCAGGGCTTTTTAGCCCTATTCCGACAGACTGGAAGGGCCACTAGGAGGCCTGGTAGTGTATCTCAGCGCATACGACGCTGAGAAAGGGCAGAAATATTGTCATTGCTGAAAGAAGGAACCCTTTCCATGAGCCCTTCAGATCCTAAATGAAGTTCAAGATGTTTTGGCAAGTCTTTTATCCCCCCTCGGCTTTTATGCCCCTTTCAGATGGCCTGCAGCAAAAGCCCGGCACCAGCAACTCAGGAGAATGTGATGCAGCGAGCGCCTAGAAGGGAACACCAATTGGAATGCGTTACTGATGAGTCGCATATTGGTAGCAGACACCGAAGATTCTACCGAGAGCAGAGGATGCGTACGATGACTCAGTTCGTGCTCCATGCAGTTTGAAGGAGGCGGTAAAATGAATGGTCTGGGCTAGGATTTACACTGGAAGACGAACTCGACTCCATATTGTTGAAGGCTACTTCGTCGCGGTCCGTTACGTCCAAGAAATTATGAAGGAATACATCCCTCAAACCAAGGATTTCATTGGGAGGGATTTTCGATTTGCCATACCATAGAGGCAGAGTTGTTCATCAATGTTTGGAAAACCTGGGAATTTCCCATCTGCTCCTTCTCCCTTGTCGCCAGACCTCAATCCGATTTATAGTAAAAAAAGTACTCTGGGGTGAGTGTGTGATGTCTGGGGAGTAAAGGTAAGTTATTAGCGCGAATGGAGTGGGTTCGGCCCCACTCTGAGGCTAGCAGAGTACTCTGGGGGAGTGAATGTGACCAGACTTTTATGTTAGTATTGTATGTTGTTTATATTTTACTCTGTTGGAATGAATGTAATTTAAGCATGAAAGGAAGGGGTTATCTACCCCGCCCCGNAACATGGCCTGATTGATTCCTTACATATATGTTTATTTATATTTATATTTGTATAATATTGAATGTTTTATTTCAAAGTTTTTACTAAAAAATGTTAATAGAGTAGAAATGAGAGATCAAATAAATTTGACGGTTCAATCTTAAGATCTTTCGGATTACACACCATTAATTAAATTAGGGTGGTGTAGTTCTGTCTAACTAAACTAATTGAGGTTGGGGTACTCAATATTACATTCACGCTAATAAATAGATTCAATCTCAATATGCGTTATCAAGCAGTGCACACAATGAACAAAAAATCAAGGGACCATACGATCTGCAGCCGTGGTCTAGCACAATTCTCATATTTGGTGGAATTTCTGCTCTAAGGCGCTAATGGATGACACCCGTCAATTACAAGGGAATTAATATGCTTTAATTAAATCATTTTGTTTATAGAGTTGAACATTATTTAATTATTTACCTCTATTTCAAATCGGTAAATTTATTTAAAATTTTACATTCACCATTTTATTTTTGTTTATCGATATTAATTATAATTGTTTTGTCGATCGACCAAAGAGAATTTTAGATCAACATTTTTAAATTGAAATGAAGGTCTATCTCTCTTAGTAACATTCCCAAGTAATTACTATTAGAACTGTGCAAAGTGGCTGACTTTTAATTAATATAAGAAGAAAGTTCGACACATATCTGGACATGTATTTTACAACATTTTACACCTTAGATTATATTACGTTCATTCCGTAAATCAAAAATAAAGGCCAAAATGGGCAAAATGAACATTTCCGTTTTGGCCTTTTTGTTGTCGCTTCTGGAGCCACTCTGATCCATAATATCGAGAAAAAGGCAATATATCACCACACCACTCCTATTCAGCATTGATGGAATTACTGGTTTTACTGCCAAAAAAATGTATTTATCTAAGAAGGTACTTACGTCCTCATCAACGGGCTCTTGGTACATTTCGATTGAACTTGCCGGGCTCCCATCGGGCAGGATGATCACTTCATTGTTATACCTGAAATTAAATGTTAAATTTCAAGTTCAGAATGATATTAATTACAGTCCTGAGTGAAGAATCCTTACCTATATTCATTTTAATACACATAAATATTCTAATAATTTAATTGGTTTGAGTTTTTTTTTTTTTTAATTCGTTCAAATATCCAAAGAACACCAGCCGCTGACTATGGAACACAGGTCTACAATAAATTAATTTCAGAGGGAATTCTTTTTATTTGTTTCTTTTTGTATATTGTTTATTGACTAGGCTAATTTTGAACAAAGCTAGGTCTGAAGAAATGGAAGGAAAATTAATTCGCGTCGAGCGCCACCTTTCGGCGATCCCCGGAATGCTTCGATATCTAAAAGTCCTCCTTTATGAGCTAGAGGGCACTTAAATGAAGTTAAACCCTATACGTATTATACCAACAATTTGGTTCGTCAATAACGTTCCAATTTAAGCGGTTAAAAATTGTAAAATACAATTGAAATTTCTAGTCGATTTCCAGCTTAAAGAAGTTTGATAGACTTCAGAAGATCAATTTAAACCTTCTTGTTTTCTTTTGTGTGCAAATTCTAGAGGATGCTTTTTGAAATTTCAAATTTCCCTCCTTCTCTCACTCACTCTTTTACTCCACTCTCCCTCGTTCTGTTTCACTATTTCTTCTCTAATTCTATGTTTACTATCCATTTTACTCCTCCTCTAATTATCTCTTTTTCACACACTAACTCTCACTCACTCTTCTACTCGAATCTTACTCGTTATCTTTCATATTTCTTTGATTCTCTTTTTACTAATGCTCCATTTTACCCTTCTACTCGCTTCTTCTCCTCCATCACACTCCTCTCTATATCTCTCTTTTTATCACACTCTCTTACACACTCTTTTACTATTTTATTCCTCTACTCACCTCTTTCTTTTTCTTTCTCTCTTTCTCTCTCACTCACTCTTCAACTCACTATTAATCGTTCTCTTTCACATGTTTTTCATTCTCTTTTTACTATTTAATACTAATTTAACATACTAATACTCATTTAACACATTTTCTTCCATTCTACTATTTCTCCATTTATTCCTGCACTCTCTCGTCCTTTCAATTTCAATAGCTCACTCATTCTTTCACTCCACTCTCACTTGTTCTCTTTCTCTATTCTTCTAGTGTTAATTTAATTTAAATACATTTTACCTTTGTACTTGTTCCCTCTCACATTATCTCACTCATCTTCTCTCTATCTCGCCTTTGATCAAACTCTCTCACCCTCCCACTCACACTTTCACTCCACCCCAACTCGTTTTTTTCGCATTTTCTTTCATTCTCAGTTTACTATTTCTCCATTTATTCCTGTACTCTCTCGTCTTTCAATTTTACTTGCTCACTCATTCTATCACTCCACTCTCACTTGTTCTCTTTCTCTATTCTTCTAACTCCTATTTCTCCATTTTACTCTCATTCTGTGTGTGTGTGTGTGTGTGTGTGTGTGTGTGTGTGTGTGTGTGTGTGTGTGTGTGTGTGCTAAACATATTTTTTTAAGATGTTCCACAAAATGTTACATATAATTTAAACATCGTAATATTAAAATTTTTAAAATAATATAACTATATTAATACTAATATGTTTTCCATGGATTTACATGATGCTAACAGAATTTTTCTTTATTTATTTGTTTTTAATTAGTATGATTAATTTGTACAACTCCAAAAAACCAACTTCTGCGCCCACAAACTCAGCAAAACACGGAAATATTTCCGGGTGCAGCAGCATCGGCTTTTCAGGAAGCCAATTAACACTCCGGGTAATTAGCGTCTGTTGTAATCGATTCCTGGCAGGCTGGAGGATGTCATAGTCTCAACGTAGATGATCATCCTTCTGGGGTGCTGCTGACTCGCAGGCGCAGGCCGGATTCTCGCTTCTCCCGAAACGATGCAGATATGCAGCCGTTTTTCCATGTCCCGTTATGATCGGCGTTGTAGTTTCCTTTCAGATGTTTCATTGTTATCGGCTTTTAAACTGATGGGATGAACGTGTGTTTGACCAAATTCTGCGACTTTATATGTTGCGATTGTTCATTCATTCATTAATCCTCTTACTCTGACAGGATGCAACCAAATTCTCAGTGTTGTGTTTTAGTTAAATTCTGTCCTGCTATAGGCAGTTTCCAGTAATTACGACATAATAACTCCATTAAGTTAATTGCTATAAAGTGAAATTCAATGTTACGCAGTACTATTCATTTAAAAAAAAATTCTTGGGTATTTGTTAAATATTTAACTGACATGGTGGGACTTTTTTAAAGGGTTTATGGTCCAAAAGCGACGGTTTTTATAGAAATGACAAATCCAATGTTTTTTCCAGAATCCATATTCATATTTCGCGCCAATTTTTCCAAAGGAAAGGTTCAAAGGTAAACTTCACAAATAAAATATCGCTGAATATTTAATTACTCGAAACATATCAAACCACAGCAGAATTTGTTTCGTTAAAAATCAGACTAAAAATTGCATTCATTTGAAAAATGGCAAAAAGGAGAAAATTCAAAAAGTGCGATTGAGATGGGAAGTTGGTGTCCGAGTGGATCGAGGTCACGATAGCTCAAGTAGTAGAGCAGCGGCGTATCAAGCCGAAGATCGTGGGTTCGAATCCCGCTTTATCTCAACTAAAAACCTTAATTAATTGTAATATATTAATTGGTCAAGCGAACCACGAAATTAGTGAATTATATATATAAAGTGGAAGGTTTATGGGCCGACAAACCGCTGAGGTCATCGCCGGCCCTCCGCGTGTATTCCTTCTCTTTCCTGTCTTTCTCGCGTATTTTGTATTGAACTGCAGCCATTTGAGCATCTCAATCTAGTTACTGACTCTCTTCTTTTACTTGTATATTACGTCATTTTAAAAAGCTAGCCTCTTGTAGTACCTCAGGTTGTAATTTAAAAATAGATACACAACATACAATACATAACATATATATCGCCACAAACATAGAAGTCTGGTCACATTCACTCCCCCAGAGTACTCGATATTCCTCGGGGCAGGGTTGAACCCACTCCATTCACGCTAATAACTTACTTTTACTATCCAGACGTCACCACTTCCCCCCAGACCTCGGGGCGGTGTAATAAGCTGCCCCATTCCTTTCACGCTAATAAATTACTTTTACTCTCCAGACGTCATACACTCACCCCAGAGTACTCGATATTCCTCGGGGCGGGGTTATAAGCAACCCCTTCCTTTCACGCTAATAAATTTCTTTTACTCTCCAGACGTCACCACTCACCCCAGAGTACTCGATATTCCTCGGGGTGATTGGGGAGACGCCAATCCATTCGCGCTAATAAATACATTTGTTCCAATAAATAACATAGCACATACATAAAGGTACCAAGTCATTAATAATAATATAATAAGAAATAATAATATGACCAAAACCAAAACCTTACAAAAAAGATTAAATAATTGAAAGAAGTAATTTGGTCAATAGAACACTAAATATAATGAATAAATAAGACNGGTTCATTGGTATTAGTTTTTTAACTGCATATTGGTCATCTGAGAATAAAAAATCACTATTTTTTATGGCTGTTTGAACTCGAGTTTTTAATTTTAAGGTGGGATCTTTTTATATTTCTTTACACTCATTATTATTTTGGAATTCTTCAAGTTTAGAAACGTAATTTTGATGTTCAATGATAACTATACTATTTCCTTTATCGGCTTTTAAAATAACGTTGTTATTACTTTTTTACTTTTTGTACGTGGGATATTTAATTTATGTACGTTTAGGTTTACCAAGTTTTGTTTAATTATTTTAGCACATTTATATTTTATATTTTTACATTTTTACTGTACAAGAAACATTTTGATGGGATCAACCATTTCTGAGTTATGCCCGACGGAAGAAGCGTGAGGGGTATGCTTTGTAACAAGTTTGCCCACCCCCTTTATTTCGAAAACGATTAGCATTAGCAAAAAATGGTCTTATATAAACCTCAAGTTCATTTTGGCTAGGAAGCTTCTGTTCAGGAGCAACTTCTTACACCATTTTCTCTTCGATTATTTGCTCTTAATATGTAAATAAATAGAAGAGTAGCACAAGAGATCGTCATCCATTTTGAGAAGGTAATTCACTGGTTGACGTTCGGAGTGACTGGCTGTGGAGCGGTCGTGAATGCCCCCTCAAATTTCAGGCACTCCAAATGGAGCTGTACGGCTTGGCGCGGTTCCATTTGGAGAGATCGTGAATGGCCATCTAAGATTTACGTGCGTGTAGTTTGGAGAGGAGTCTGATGCGTCTTGTGCATTTCAGACATTGCATTTCATGTAGGCTCCAGGTTATTGTGAGCCCAGATTACATGGGTGCTTTTGCTATCATTAATTTTTATTTGCTAGTATCACCCTTGGTTATAAGATACGTGGCTGAAACTCCTACGAATATCAGAGGATAGATAATACTATTAAGATAAAGAATATTTATTTTATCAAACAATTTTATGCTTCTGGTTCATTTATAAAATTTTTATCTTTTTTTAAAATAGTAATACATTTTAAACTTGGACAATAATTTTTTTCAAATATATAGGTTGTCCATTAACGGTCAATACTTTAGAAAATTGTTCTACATGTCAAAGTGGACTAAAAGTTTTTAGTTTAAGTACATGTGTTTACAGCTCATTAGTTGGGAAAGCTTTTCTATAAGCGCCATATATGTCAGTATTTACAGAACCGAGAAAATCTTACTTAAACTTTCAATAAGAAGCTCAGAAACTCATAAAAGTTAATATTCTGAATGGTTTTGTATTTATTTCCTTTAGGGTAAAATAAATATTTAAAAAATCAATCGCATAGAATTTTCAATGCTATTTCCATTTGAATTAACATTTTTATTTATTTTTGTGCAATTATTTGCAATTCTCAACTAGTAAGCCATACAAACTAAAAATACAGTAAAACATAATACCAATGATAAAATATAATATAAAACCGTAACGAAGATAAATACTAACTAAAAATACAATAT